GGGGGGGTTGTAGGAAGATATTTACAAGTTTTATGGAATATTGTTGGTGAAAAAGTAGATCGCTGATGAAGAGTATCTGGGTGAAAGACAATGGAAATGGATTTCAGAATTGAAATTGCCGAAGTCGGCAGATTTTAATATTTGGGTTAGTGTGTCACGGAACTTTGACCATTATTGGTCCATTCATCCGTCGTTCTCCTTTTTTCTCGTACCCATCCTCTTCGCTGTTCTCTTCAGCTTCTATTTCCTGATCTCCAGCCAGTTACTGGTGCTTGATTTTTTTTTTCTGTTTATGCGTTAGTAAAAGATGAATCTTTTGACGGGCTGTTACTTCTTTGGGGCGGAAATTTTTTTTAGCAATATTAAAATCGTTAGCAGTTGTGGTAACAGTTTGTCAGTCTGTTTTTCCTCCTTGACCAGTATTTTCAATCTCGTATTTTGAGTGAAACCTCGACGCTAACTTAATAAATTTCTGTTTTTCTTTAATGAAACATTTTTACTCTTTGATATTACTTAGTAACTGGTAGTGATTGGGAAGTGCTTGGCTTGTGGAGAAGAGGCGGAGAAGGATGAACTTTGTGAGCAGATTTTGTGAATATGGAGTTTTTCTCTGAAGCAAGGTATTTGCGTGATTTCGTTGAAATCTGTACCGGAAACAGACCAAAGACCATGTAATGATGTTGGACATCCATCCGCCTATTCATTTTTGAGCCATTCCTTAAGACGGAGACCAAAAGTAGCAAGTTAACTTTTCCTTTTTGTGCAGCCACAATAACAGTGGTCGCCGTGATGGCAGCCAAATTTGTTCACTCAATAATCGTCGTTTTGAAGTGTCTAAGTAGAAAAATGAAGGAGATTTTTGTTAAAGCACTTTTGGTTTGTAAATTATTTCGTTTTACTGATTTGATAAATTGAAGAGCTTTTATTTTCTATCTGGACCGCAGCAAAAGTATTGCATAAAAGAAAAGTTAAAGCGGCTTTCAAAAATTTGAATGTATTACATTAAAATACTGTCAATAAAAGCTTCTTTCTACTGCATCTGTATTTTTGATTCGTCTATTTGTCAATTTAATCACGTGCGCTTAGTTTCTTTGAAAAAGTCAGTTTCTGTACAACTAAACTTTGGTTTTTGCAACAGTAATACTGAAAATGGAACTTAGCAGAAATTTTACTTGTTTCTTCCTTGTTAGGAAGTTCCAGAGAAATGAATTAAATTACCAAGCTTTACATAGTTTTAAATTTGATCTTTATCAGTTGGCCAGACTGACTAACATTTCCATAATTTCATTTAAATTTTTTTAATATTTAGTCATTATCTGAAATTTGTTGCTTCGGTATTCTCGTTGATGTTTATCATCTAGAAAAAATCTGTATCCTTTTGTTGCTA